ATAAAACCCCGATCCCGCCTTAGCAACCTTCAGCCCAGCCTTACAAAAAGCCTATCCAGGTCTCCCAGGGATTTCCCCCCACTCCAGTCCTCATTGGGGCACCCCCCCCATCCAACACCGCTCTCTCTTCATAGTTCATGCTCCATTAGCCACTAATTGGGAGTTTACTATGCACCAAGTCCTATAACAGCTCCAGGATCCAGTGCTCCTTTCCCTTGGAGTTAGGGGTGGGGGAAGCAGAGAGACATTAACTCTTAAAAATTAATTACCAGGTGTGACAGTGGTTCCAAAGAAGTACACTTGGACCACAGGGAAGAGTTGGGAAATGTGTTGGAGGGGAGAGGCAACCAGGGAGGTGCCCTCAATCATGATCTATGAATGTGGCCAAATCCTCCAATTGGCTATTGGATTTGACTCTAAATGTTCTCATTGTTTTTTCTTAAATACCTATTTTAGTCTCATCCAATGTAATAACCATAAGAATCACAATTTTCATTTTCTCATATTCACTAAATAAATATGTAACTCCTAAGAGTAAAAAAAAAAAATTTTTTTGTTCAAAGGTCCTTTGCCCTTATGGAACATTACTAGCCACTGTTCCTGATGAGTTGCCTCACAGACCCTCCACCTACACACCCCCTCAAGGCCCATTTCTACTGGTGAACTCCCCATCTTGCCCCAAATACCACCCCTGTTTCCCCCAACACTACACCCCTTCCCCTTCCTATTTACCCTTGCACAGCAAGCCTTGAGCAAATGTCCCCCACAGAGAACCTACCATTTTCCCAGGTTGTATGCCTCACCCTCTTTCCGGGGGAACTTTGGAGACCCAGGGCCCTCCTCAAGCCCTAAACCCCCCTTTCCATTGCCTCTCTGACAGGAGTCAGGCCAGGGTTCCCACCTCCATGTCTTTCCTTTAACATCCCCATTGATCCAATGGCCTCAGATTCTCGTCATCTCCCCCCTTCAAGAGCTTCTCAATATAACTGTTCTTTTTAAAAATTATTCAAGTACTATATTAATATATTCACACTCATTTAATTAGAATTGACCCTTGAACAACAATGGGGGTTGGGGCACCAAACTTGGGGCACAATTGAAAATCCTGTATACAACTTTTGACTCCTCAAAAATGTAGCTACTAATAGCCTACTGTGACCAATAGCATAAAGTCGGTTAACAAATATTTTGTATGTTATATGTATTATATACTGTATTCTTATAATAAAGCTAGAAAAAAGAAAATGTTAAGAAAATCATAAGGAAGAGGGGCATCTGGCTTGCTCAATTGGTAGAGCATGTGACTCTTGATCTCAGGGTTGTGAGTTTGAGCACCACATGGGGTGTAGAGATTACTTAAAAATAAAATCTTTAGAAAATGGAGGGGGCACCTGGGTGGCCCAGTAGGTTAAGCTTCTGACTCTTGGTTTCACTTAGGTCACTGTCTCAGGGTTGTGAGATTGAGCCCTGAATCAGGCTTGGTACTCAGCGTGGAGTCTGCTTGGGTTTCTCTCTCTCCCTCCCCCTCTGCCCATCTCTCCACTTGTGCATGCTCTCTCTCTCAAATAAAGTAAATCTTTAAAAAAAAGAAGAGAAAATACATTTATAGCACTGTACTGTAAAAAATTCACCTGCACAGTTCAAACCCATGTTGTTCAAGGGTTAACTGTAATTTAAAATATTTATTACAGGGGCGCCTGGGTGGCTCAGTTGATTAAGCCTCTGTCTTTGGCTCAGGTCATGATCCCAAGGTCCTGAGATCAAACCTCACATCAGGCTCCCAGCTCAGCGGGGAGCCTGCTTCTCCCTCTCCCTCTGTCCCTCTCTCCACTCATTCTCTCTCTCTCTCTCTCCCCCAAATAAATAAAATCTTAAAAAATAAAATAAATAAAATATTTATTATATACATATTGTGTTAGACATCATTCTAGATGCTGGGGACACAGCCATGAACATAAAGACAAAAATCCTTGCTTTCGTGGAGTCATAGTCCTGCAGGCAAGATGGACTATAAACAAGAAAAAAAAAAAAGAAATATTCTGTGATTATATATTTTCTTTCCTCTGCAGGAAAGGAAGCTACTTTGGACAGGGTGGTCAGGGAAGGCCTCTCTGAGGAGGTGGACTTGAGAAATGATATGGAGTCACATGGAGAAAAGGAAACATGCAGAGGTTATTAGCTATATCATCTTGGGCAAGTGCAAAGACCCTGAGGTCTAAATGAAAGAAGGCCAAAGAATGTAAAGGAACAACTGAGGATAATAAGTGAGGGATGAGGATGAGGATGGAGAGACAGACAAGGCCAGTGTGAGGGTCGAAGTTTAGTTCTGAGGGTGATGGGAGGCACTGGACAGTAAAAGTTTCCACTAATACAGTCTTGACAGTTTTCCATATATTTCCATATATCCAGGTGTATGTGCACATAGTTGATTTTTATCTCTTCCTCAGGACTTTGCAAATTCTGTTCTCTCACCAAAATGCTGTTCTTCCACCCTCATTGGAACAACACAAGCTTGCCTTTGTGCCTCCTCTAGAAAGCTTTCCATGATCTCCCTGGATGGGATCCCTCCCTCCCTCGCTGTTCCCGTTTCTCACAGTACCTGGTACTACTGCTGTCATGTGATACTTTTCTTGGAAATTCCCCTTTCCTCCAACCCCTCAATAGGAGCTCTCTGAGCCAGGGAGGTACTGCATCCATTCTGGTTGGAACTCAGAGCTAGACACAGAGGAACCTGAGAAATGCTTGTTAATTGACCACCTGGCTGGGGCGCCTGGGTGGTTCAGTCATTAAGCGTCTGCCTTCGGCTCAGGTCATGATCCCAGGGTCATGGTATCGAGCCCCGTGTCGGGCTCCCTGCTCCGCGGGAAGCCTGCTTCTCCCTCTCCCACTCCACCTGCTTATGTTCCCTCTCTCACTGTGTCTCTCTCTGTCAAATAAATAAATAAAATCCTTTAAAAAAAATTGACCACCTGGCTGATATAATAACTGAATGAGGTTTCAGGGATGTAGAATCCATTTCCAGCAGGCTCCCCATTCAGGCTGACTCCTGCTCTGAACTTTCTGCTCCTCACCTCCATCTCTTCCTCCACCCAAATATGTCAGTCCTATTTCCTTAAGGCCCACTGGTTGGCACTGAACTGAATCAAATCACAGCTTAGAGACTCCTGGTATAACTAATGTGGTAATTCTAGGCATGGAGCCAAGTAGGGAAGAAGGAAAGTTTGGGAAACTTCCAGTGTCCCCCTCCACAATGAGTGCTCCTGCCACCCCAGAAAAGTTAACTTCTCCATGCGGAGGGGAGAAATCATGAGCAGCTTAAACCAGAGTCCCAGTTACAAGGGAAAGGAAGTAAGGACACACATAGCAATGCTGGGCCCTGACATCTTGTTCATTGGCATTGGTAGGAGACAGCAAAACATGGTGGTTGCTATGGGCTGAATTGTTTCCCCCCAGAATTCATAGACTGACATTCTAACCTCTAGTACCTCAGAATGTGACTGTATTTGGATATTGGGCCTTTAAAAGAAGTATTTAAGATTAAACAAGGTTATATAAGTGGGTCCTAATCCAGTATGACTGGTGTCCTTATAAAAAGAGGAAATTTGGACACAGGTATGTACAGACCATGTGAAGACACAAGGAGAAGACAGTCATAGAAACCTTTCAGTGTTTTTCAGGGGAAAATTTTTATATTTTATGTAACATTGCCACTATTTTCAGAGGAAGGATTACCTGAATAAACCAGTCCACTATTACTGAAAAGGAAGGAAGGAAGGAAGGAAGAAAATCCAGTTTCGGCGCTAAAATAGGCCAAGTATAATTCCTCCTTCACTGACCTCTGACACCATCTTCTGACACTGACCCAGGCAATAATATCCCAGATAAATACCACATGGCCCAAGTCCTGAGGGATACCCTCACAAGCCACAGCCACCACTCAATGTGTAGCTGTGATCCAGTGACAACTCCACATAGTGACACACACAAATTCCACCCACCAGTACTCTGGGAGATGTCAACCCCAAACTGTATTGCTTCAACAAGCATATGTTGGACACCCACCATGTGCTAAGTGCTGGGGTTACAGCAGAAAACAAGACAGACAAGGTTTCTGCGGTCATGGAATTTACAGCCCGGTAGGGGCAATGGACGATGGAAATGTAGCAAACAAGTAATTTCAAAAAGTGAAAAGCTGTATGACGGAACTAAAAGAGAGGGCAGTGCTACTTTAGATGGGACATCTAAGAAGCTCTCTCCGAAGAGGTGGCATTTGATCTGAAACCTGAAGATTGAAAAGGAGCCCACCATGGGGGTAATGCATACCAGTCAGGAAAATACTAGGTGAAAAGGCGCTGAGACAGGAGCCGCCTTGGCATGCTCAAGGAACGGCAAGGAGACCAGTTTGGCTGGAGAGGAGTGAGTGAGGGGCCAAGTGACAGGATATGAGGTTAGAGAAGGAAGCAGGGGCCAGATTATAGTCTTTCTTGTGGACTGTGGGAAGGAGTTTGGATTTGAAGAATAAATGGAAGCCCTTGAGATCTCATGATTTATGCCCTAATAAGTTTGCTAGGAGCACTGTTACCCAATCAGAACAGTTTTGTGTAAAGACTTGTGAGGCCTGGCTCCTCCCAGTGTCACCCTCCCGATTCTAGGGAGGGCGGCTCCTCTTTCAAGAAACGTCCTTTCAAGCTCTCAGGTGACATACCTCCCGCCAAGCACGAAGGAAACAGGCTGCCTGGTTGGACAAATCCACGTGTGTGATTCGGGCTTTCTTAGAGCTGGTCGGGCGGAGCCCGTTGTGATTGGTTACAAACTCTCCACTCTTCCAATCAGACCGCTATTCGGGAGAGTGCGTGCATCTCGTTCCCCGTGTGAGACGAGTGAGCCATTTGATCGGCTCTTCCCGTGAGAGTGGCAGCAGACGCAGCCTATGAGCGCAAAGACGCGCTGCTCGGTCCAGTGCGGCCAGCGGTGCCGCCGGAACCCGGGGCTGTCAGTGCTGGTGCTGCTGCTCTCTCCCCACCACGGGCGTCCCTCGCACTATGGCGGTCCCGCCGCAGCTACGAGCCCTGCTCCATGCGGTCAACGAACTGTTGCGCAAGCGCCGCTACCACGCTGCTTTGGCCATGCTTAAGGGCTTCCGGAACGGGGCAGTGTGAGTGGGGCCGTTGGGCTGGGCATGGGCTGAGGGATGGGTGCGCTTTGTGAGGTAGGAGGACCGGATTCTGGGCGCGTTGCCCCCCTGTGTGCCCTTGAGCAGCCCTAGTGTGTTTCTAGGCCTCGGTGTCCACCATCTGCCCAGTGGGCGCTGGGGATTTGGGGTTCCTTGCGCCTTCTGAGCTGCGGCTCCCATTAAGCTGTGTCTGGGTCCTCCGTGCTTTGCAACCTGGGGCACTTGCCTTGACCACCTCCCACTCCAGCCTCTGTATCCCCTCGTTGGGGCCGACCCCCACCCCACCCCGCCTGCTTTGTGACCTTGGGTCTGTCTGGCTTCAACGGCCCTATCTGCACAATGAGAAGTGGCCACTGGCATCTAGCAGGCCAGCGGCGCGTTGTGTGCATGCTCCCACCATTAAGCTGCCTGTGGGCTCACATCCCACATCTCACTCCCCATCCGTATGACTCTAGCTCTAAGTCCCCATCCGGCCCAGGGGACTCCTGGGGCATAAGCCTGAGGAGTGACAACGACTGTAAAAGAAAGTGCAGCTGTTTGCTGGGCAAATTGATTCCACCCTGGCCATCAGATCTGCTGGAAAGGAGGTCTTGGGGTCATTTCACCTGGCTGGTAACTGCAGGGAGCTCCCCCTCCTTTAAAACTCATGCATAACAGTATCTTTTGTTGAGCACCTACTGTGCCAGAACTGGGGATGCAACAGAGAACAAACTGAACAAAGACCTGTACTCTTGGAGTTGACATGCTAGTGGCAGCATGGCATGTGGTGAGAGTACCTCTGGACTGCCTCTGCTCGAATCTTGGTACCACCTACCTGTGTGATCTTTTTTTTTTTTAAAGATTTTATTTATGGAGGCGCCTGGGTGGCTCAGCTGGTTAAGCAACTGCCTTCGGCTCAGGTCATGATCCTGAAGTCCTGGGATCGAGTCCCACATCAGGCTCCCTGCTCAGCAGGGAGTCTGCTTCTCCCTCTGACCCTCTCATGCTCTCTGTCTTTCATTCTCTTTCTTGCAAATAAAATCTTAAAAAAAAATTAAAGATTTTATTTATGTATTTGACAGAGAGAAAGAAAGCGCACGAGCAGGGGGAGAGGCAGGAGGCAGAGGGAGCAGCAGACTCCCCACTGATCAGGGAGCCTGGTGTGGGACCCGATCCTGGGACCCTGGGATCATGACCTGAGCTGAAGGCAGATGCTTAACGACTGAGCCACCCAGGCGCCCCTAAGCTATTTTAGTTTTCATTTTTTTAGGCCAACTGAATCTACTGATAGCCACTATAGAGTGTCTCCTGTACACAGATTCCCAGGAAAATAAAGCAGAAGAAGATGAGGAAGGAAAGGGAGAGTAATGTGTATTTCCTGCAGAGAGGGGATAGTTCTGGTCTGCTGCTGTTTTCTCGGTGGTAGGGATGAATTTGCACAGGTCATTTCTCATCTCTCCAGTCACCTCAGTGGGGGCCTTAAAGTTTTTATTCAGTCATTTGACATAGAGAGAGCAAGAGAGGGAACATAAGCAGGGGGGAGTGGGAGAGGGAAAAGCAGGCTTCCCACTGAGCAGGGAGCCTGATGCGGGGCTCGATCCCAGGACCCTGGGATCACGACCTGAGCTGAAGGCAGATGCCTAACGACTGAGCCACCCAGGCGCCCCAAGATTTATTTATTTTAGAGAGAGAGGAAGAGCACTGGGTGGGGAGGGGCAGAGGGAGAGGGACAGAGAGAATCTCAAGCAGACTCCCGTCTGAGTGTCCTGAGTGCAGGGCTCAATCTCACCACCCTGAGGTCATGACCTGAGCCGAAATCAAGAGTTGGATGTTCAGCTGACTGAGCCACCTAGGAACTCCTCAATTATTTTAATTTTAAAAGCAATGCTTAACCATTACAGATCATTTTGGAAATACGGAAAAGTTAAAAAAAGACAAAAGTAAATTCCCATATTCCTCCAGCTCAGGGAACATTGCTAATAACATTGTGGCATATTTCCTTCCAGTCTTTTTTTTTTCTTAATCCATTTTTACAAAGCTGAGGTCCTCCTGTGTATCATAGTTGGAAAGAGGTACACTTTGAATAAGTAGAAGGAGGTACGATGTTACTCAGCAACTGTTTTAGGGAATTTGTTAACTTTAAGATAGACCAAGCTAAATTCCAGAAATTACCTTCCCTCACAAATAATTAAGGGCAGTTCTAGAATCAGTCAGCAATCATGTATGGAGCACATTACTATATGTCAAGTACCATGCAAGGTGCTGGGGACTCTGCAGAAGACAAATCAAACACGGTCCCTCCCTCACAAGGCCCACGGTCTAGTGGAGGAAAGAGATAATTAGAATAGAATAGGGGCACCTGGGTGGCTCACTCGGTTAAGCGGCTGCCTTCAGCCCAGGTCATGATCCCAGGGTCCTGGGATCGAGTCCCGCATCGGGCTCCTTGCTCATCAGGGAACCTGCTTCTCCCTCTCTCTCCCTCTGCTTGTGCTCTCTGTCAAATAAATAAAATCTTTAAAAAAAAAAAAAGAATAGAATAAGTAATTACGAGTAATCGAGTCATTAACCCAGGACTGTAAACCACTGCAGAGAAGGTTGGAGCTCCATGGCAATGAAAATATTGCCCTAAACCTCGTCTGGTGGGTAAGAAGCCTCCACAGAGGTGCCCACTGAGACTGGAAGGCTGAGGAGTTGGCTGCCGCGTGAGGAGCAGGGAAGAGCAGTCCGGGCTGAGGGAACAGCCTGCCCAGAGGCAGGGAGGAAGCTGGTGGGTCAGAGGAACTAGGGGAAGGCCACGGGGCTGGAGCAGGAGAGGAGGGGCGCTGGAGGTAGGAGAAGTAAGCAGGGGCCAAATCCTGCAGCACTTTCAAGGCTGTGGGAGGAACCTGGATTTTATTCTGTGAGTATTGGAAAGGTATTGGCCACTTTGAAGAGGGGATGTGATATGATTTAAGCGTTAAAAAAGATGGGTCTGACTGCAACGGGAAGGTCAGGGTAGAACCGAGGGAGCAACTCCACACCAGTGGGGTTGGATGGGGTCGGTGGAGGCGTTTGACACACGTTGTCCCCTTTCATTGAAATTATAGCCGGCCCTCTAGCCTGATGTCCCCTTTTGCTGTTAGGCAAACCGAGGCTCAGAGAAGTGAAGTAGCAAGCCTGAGGCCCCACTCCTACGAAGGTGTCAGAACTGGGGTTTGAACCCAGATCTAACTTGGAAGCCAGCATTATCTTCCCTTCCAGGGTGACGTTCGGATTAGGGCTGGAGGCGGGTGGGGAAAGGCGTCAGAGAGCCTAGAAAGAAACTGTGAGGCAGTGATGCCATAATAACTGTTTCCTTTCATTTCTGCAGCTATGGAGCCAAAATCCGGGCCCCTCACGCGCTCGTCATGACATTTCTCTTCCGGAGTGGCAGGTACCCACCCCCTCTGCACACCCCTCAGACGGGGGGAGAGTATGGTCAGCCCTCAGTGCCAGGAAGCTTGCACTACCTTCCTAGCTAGGTCTAGCCGGCCCCCCTGCCACCACCGTCTCCTCCAGTACGACTCTGATCCTATTATTCCTGCTCAAAAACTCCCCGGGCTGCCACAGTCCTCCAAAAAAGCCCAGCTTCCTTCCTTAAAAAGCCCTCTGCAGCTAGTCGTGTCGAGCCCTGGGTGGCGTATGGAGCTGTTGAATCACTGTCTCGTACACCTGAAACTAATATAACAGCCTATGTTCACTATACTGGGATTAAAATAAATTAAACACAAAACCCCAAAGGCCCTCTGCTGCCTGGGCTCAGCTGCACCCCCACACTCCTCCCTACGTCCACCTGGGAGTGTCCCGGGCCCACAGGACCCCCTGCCACGCGGCGTGTTGTTCCAGCGCCGTACATTTGCTTATGTGGTAACCCCCGCCGGGCGCACCCTTTCCTCTTCACCCTACCTTTATTTCCTTCCTGGCAGCCCATACCAGCCATGTGAGGATCACTTCCTTGGGAAAACTGTCCGTGACCTCCTTCACTCACTCAGACTGCTTGGTCTCCCTCCACCCCCATAGCTTTCCCCTCATGGCACTTCTCAGAAACCACTCTGTGGCCTGGTTTTTAACGTATGTAGCCTCACCTGGCTCTTGTAAGAAGCACACATGGACAGCCTACTGGCCAAATCCAGCTCGTAAGAGTTTCTCTTTTTCTGTTTTTATTTAGGATTGCTTTTTTTTTTTTAAGATTTTATTTATTTGAGAGAGAGAGAGTGTATGAGCACGAGCAGGGGGAGGGGCAGAGGGAGAGGGAGAAGCAGGCTCCTCCCTGAGCATGGAGCCCGATGGAGGACTCGATCCCAGGACCCCCGGGATCATGACCTGAGCTGAAGGAAGATGCTGAACTGATTGAGCCACCCCAGCGCCCCTAGAAGCATTTGTGAAGGCAAGATTAGCACCAACACTTAACTGGAAAATCCAGCTTTCTTGCATTAGAACTGGCAACACTAGAGGCACCTGGCTGGCTCAGTCAGTAGAGCATGTGACTCTTGATCTTGGGGTCATGAGTTTGAGCTCCATGTTGGGCATAGTGTGTACTTAAAAAAAAAATTAACAACAACAAGAAAAAACTGGCAACACCGCGCTCATGTTCCTCTGAGGCGAGAACCAGCTGACTCTTAGCTGTCCTCACTCACCTGGCAGATTTCCACAGGTTGCATTAGACCCACTTTCAAGGCCCTCATCGAGCCTTGAGAGCACTTGGTTGTATGATCCTTGAATTGACTTCCGGGAGTACTTGCTGCTCTTCTCCCTGTGTTCTCTCACCCCCCTAGTGACTTAATTTTAAAAGTTAAATAGAATCCTTGCCCAACATGGGCGCCTGGGTGGCTCAGTCGTTAAGCGTCTGCCTTCGGCTCAGGTCCTGATCCCAGGGTCCTGGGATCGAGCCCCGCATCGGGCTCCCTGCTCGGCGGGAAGCCTGCTTCTCCCTCTCCCACTCCCCCTGCTTGTGTTCCCTCTCTTGCTGTGTCTCTCTCTGTCAAATAAATAAATAAAATCTTAAAAAAAAAAAAAAGAATCCTTGCCCCCAACTTAAATGTGCACTTTTCTCAGGATAAAGACAAAACTGCATGTCCTCACTTCTCCTCACATTCTGTCCCCCCCACATTCTCTGCTCAGGCCTTGATGGTTTCTTGCTGTTCCTTTACTCCCCACTCTCTGTCCCTCCTCCAGACCTTTGCATGTGCTGATCCCTCTGCCTGGGATGCAAGCCCTCTCCCCTCTCCACCTCATTGACGACTCATCCTTCTGATCCTAGGATCATCTCTGGTCAAGGTCAAAGTTTGATCCTTGCTTTGTGATTATTTATGTTTCTCTCTCCCATCAGATCACATACCTTATAAAGGCAGCAAGCATTTTTTCCTCAGAATCCTATCCCCAATTCCAGTACGTAGTAGGCTCTCCCTTACTCCCTCGTTCATGTCCTCACCTGCTCATGCCAAAAAGTCATTTACATTTACACCTACTACGTGCCAGGCTCTGTTCTGGGCCCTGGGGATCAACAAGCCAGGTGTAGGCACCACCCTCTGGTAGCTTCCACTGGGTTGGGGTGGGAGTGGGAAGAGATTAAGCCTATTAATGTCAGCTGGTGGGAGAGCTGTGAGGGAAAAGGGGACAGAGTAGTCAGGCAAGGCCTCTCTGAGGAAGTGACATGGAGTCAAGGCCTGAACCCAGTGGGGGAGCAGCCCCAAGGACATGGAAGCTAGAGGCCTGGGGCTGGCTCAGGTTTGCATGCCCAGTGGGGGAGTGCCCTGGGAGTAGTTGGGCCACCACTCATGGGGGTTCCCGGTATTTGTTCAGCCTCCAGGAGAAGCTGCGGGCCATCCTGCAAGCCACGTACACCCACTCCCGGAACCTGGCCTGCTTTGTGTTCACCTATAAGGGGCTCTGCGCCCTGCAGGCCCACATGCAGGGCGAGACCTACCAGGTGCACTCGTTCCTGGCTGCCTTCATCGGGGGCTTGCTGGTGTTCGGAGAGAACAATAACATCAACAGCCAGGTAAAGACTCTTCCCCAGGATAGGGCTCAGGGATCAGAGGCCAGGATGGGGAGGGACGTGGTCCAGGTATAGAATTAGGGGTGGAGGTCAAAGAAGAGGAACTCTTTGCTCCCTTCCATGTCCAGGCGTCTGTGATCCACCGGTCCCTGTGTGACCTTGGGAGGGTCACTTTCCATTTCCCCATCTGTAAACCAAGCAGCTTGCTGAAACGCCATGTTTCCCCAAGTCCATGTGTGTGGAGCAAAGTTTTTTTTGTTTTGTTTTTCTTTTTAATACGGAACGCTTCGTGAATTTGTGCGTCGTCCTTGTACAGGGGACTGCTAATCTCTGCGTCATTCCAGTTTTATTCTATGTGCTACTGAAACGAGTGCGATTAAAAAAAGATTAAGGGCGCCTGGGTGGCTCCGTTATTAAGCATCTGCCTTCGGCTCAAGTCATGATCCCGGGTCCTGGGATCGAGCCCCGCATCGGGCTCCCTGCTCCTTGGGAAGCCTGCTTCTCCCTCTCCCACTCGCCCTGCTTGTGTTCCCTCTCTCGCTGTCTCTCCCTCTCTGTCAAATAATAAATAAAATCTTTAAAAAAAAATCCAACAGGGCTCCTGGGTGGCTCAGTTGGTTAAGCGACTGCCTTCGGCTCAGGTCATGATCCTGGAGTCCCGGGATCGAGTCCCGCATCAGGCTCCCTGCTCAGCAGGGAGTCTGCTTCTCCCTCTGACCTTCCCCCCTCTCATGTGCTCTCTCATTCTCTCTCTCAAATAAATAAATAAAATCTTAAAAAAAAAAATCCAACAGACTAAGCACCCCCTGTGTGTCTGGCACACTTCTAGGTGCTTGGGGTGCATTACAATAAAATTAGAAAAGAAATTGAAAAGAAAGCTCCCATCCCCCTTCAGTTGTCAAGGCACTGTCCAGGAACACTTTAACTGTGTCCTTTTTTTTTTTTTTAAGACTTAATTTATTTTTGGAGAGAGAGAGCATGAGCGGAGGTGCAGAAGGAGAGGGAGAAGCAGACTCCTGCTGAGCAAGGAGCCCGATGTGGGGCTCGATCCCAGGACCCTGGGATCATGACCTCAGCTGAAGGCAGATGCTTAACCGACTGAGCCACCCAGGTGCCCCACTTTAACTGTGTCTTGTGTGGCCCTTCATAAATTGTCTGTGCTTGTATCTGTACATACTGGGAGTTTTCCACCAATGAGATCACGCCACACTTTTTCTTCACAGAATGATGTATTTGGGAGACCTTTCTTGTCAGTCTGTCATTCTTTTTAACATCAGCAGAACTCGCTCTTGGGTGGATGGACCAGCCTTGATTTCCCCAGTCTCCTCTGGATGGACACTTAGAGGGTCTCTAGCCTTTTGCCAGGACACACGCACTAGTCCACATCTTTGTTTGGACATCTTCTTACACGTGTCAATCCATCTGAAATTTCCTTACCCCGGAACTGTGGAATCTATCAATATGAGCATTTTGAATTTTGAGGAAGTTTCCCTAGCTTTGCTTTTTTTGTTAGAAATGTCACTGGTCTGTGAACTTCCAAGGGCTGGGGATCCTGGTCACACTATCTCCTTTCCCCTCCCTTCCTTTCCCTGACCCTTGGCCACAACTACTCTGACCTCCATTTTTAAAATTTTGTCATTTCAAAAATGTTATGTAAGTAGAGTCATTGCAGTATGTAACTTTTAGGGACTGGCTTTTTGCACGCAGCGTAATTCCCTGGAGATTCATCCATGTTGTGTGTGTATCAATAGTTCATTCCAGGGCATGGACGCCCCACACTTTAAACATTCACCCATTGAAGGACATCTGGGTTGTTTCCAGCTCTTGGCTATTAGAAATACAACTAAGAATATTCTTGTACAAGTTTTACATAGGTTTTCATTACTCTGGAATAAATGCCCAAGAGTCCAATTGCTGGGTCATATGATACATGCATGTTTAATTTTTTTAAAGATTTTTAAGTAATCTCTGTAGCCAACATGAGGCTCAAACTCAGAACGCCGAGATCAAGAGTCACACGCCCCACCTACTGAGCCAGCCAGGTGCCCTGTGCATGTTTATTATTATTTTTTTTAAAGATTTTATGTATTCATTTGAAAGAGAAAGAGCTCAAGGAAAGCACAAGTCGGGAGAGGGGCAGAGGGAGAGGGAGAGGGAGAGAATCTCAAGCAGACTCCACGCTGAGCATGGAGACCCACGCAGGGCTCGATCTCAAGACCCTAAGATCATGACCTGAGCCGAAACCAAGAGTTGGATGCTTAACTGACTGAGCCAGCCAGGCACCCCCATGCATGTTTAATTTTTTAAGAAACTGCCAATCTATTTTCCAGAGTGACTGTACTATTTTACATTCCCATCAGGAATATACAAATGATCCATTTTCTCCACATCCCAGCCAGCATTTTGTTTATTGCATTTTTAATTTTAGCCATTTTGATAGGTCTGTAGTTCTTCTCATTGTGGTTTTAATTTGCATTTCTGTAACGGCTAATGATGTTGAACATCTTTACATGTGCTTATTTCCCATCTGTAGAACTAGTTCAGTGAAACATTTGTTCGCATCTTTTGCTTATTTTCTAATTGGATTGTTTCTTTTTTTACCATTGAATTTTGAGAGTTTTTTAAAAAAATATATTCCAGGTACGAGTGTTTGTCAGATATGTGTTTGCAAATATTTCTCCCAGCTGTAGCTTTTATTTTCAGCCTCTTTGTATGGGCTTTCACAACCAAACAATTTTAAATTTTGATGAGAGCCAATTTACCAATTTTTTATTTTTGTGTGGGTTGTAGTTTTTGGTGTCAGGTTACCTTTCAGTTTTGAACCATGTAAATATATTCATTTTCTAAAAATCTTAATGAACAAGAATGATAAATTACAGAAATGAATAGCAACATTAAAATACCTACTACAGGGGCGCCTGGGTGGCTCAGTCTGTTAAAGTATCTGACTCTTGATTTCAGCTCAGGTCATGATCTCAGGGTCCTAAGACTGAGCCCCGTGTCACGCCCTGCACTGAGTGTGGAGCCTGCTTAAGATTCTCTCTGTGCCTCTCCACCCCCCTTCTCTCTCTCTCTCTCTTTCTTTCTCTCTCAAATAAATAAAATCTTTAAAATGCCTATGCCTGGGTGGCTCAGTCGTTAGGCATCTGCCTTCGGCTCAGGTCATGATCCTAGGGTCCTGGGATCGAGCCCCGCATCGGGCTCCTTTCTCAGTGAGAAGCCTGCTTCTCCCTCTCCCACTCCCCCTGCTTGTGTTCGCTCTCTCACTGTGTCTCTCTTTGTCAAATAAATAAATAAAATCTTAAAAAAAAATACCTACTATATATCATTTGGATCATCAAATCACTTCAAATCATCTTGCACACTAGCTTTGAAAAACACTGATCTGGGCACTTCTGGCTGGCTCAGTTGGAAGAGCATGGGACTCCTGAACTTGGGGTCGTGGGTTCAAGCCCCACATGGGGTGTAGAGATTACTAAAATAAATAAACTTTTTTAAAAAAAGATTTTATTTATTTATTTGAGTGAGAGGGAGAGAGAACAAGCGAGGAGGAGAGGGAGAAGCAGGCTCCCCGCTGAGCAGAGAGCCCGATGTGGGACTTGATCCCAAGGCTCTGGGATCACGACCTGAGCCGAAGGCAGATGCTTAACCAACTGAGCCACCTAGGCGCCCCTAAAATAAACAAACTTGAAAAAAAAGAAAGAAAAAAGAAAAACCCTGATCCTGTGTGCAGTTGTGCCCCAGGATGTGGGGTTGGGCCAAAGGTTCCCAGCGGCTGTGCCCTCCTGTAATCCCCTGTCATTCCCTCCCTGCAGATCAACATGTACCTGCTCTCCCGCCTCCTGTTTGCCCTGTGCCGCCTGGGCGTGGAGAAGGGCTACATTCCCGAGCCCAGGTGGGACCCATTCCCCCTGTTCACCGGGCTGGTGTGGGGGCTGGTGCTGTGGCTTTTTGAGTACCACCGGCCCACTCTGCAGCCGTCCCTGCAGTCCTCCATGACCTACCTGTACCAGGACAGCAATGTCTGGCATGACATCTCAGACTTCCTCCTCTACAACAAGAGCCTCCCCTCGAAGTAATGCGGCCCCGAGGTGCTGATGGGGGCTTCCACAGCCGAGATTGTCTCCATCGGTGAATCACCCCCAAAGGATCCTGCCTTCTCAAGATCATGGTTCTCAGACTCCAACTTTTATTGCCCCAGGGTTCCATTTGCCGAAGCAAAAGCACTGATTTCCAAGACCATTAGGTGCTCTCCAGTGGCGGAACGAGTGGTGAATTGGGCTGCGGGGCCTCGACGTGATTCCGGCTGTGCTGCTGGCTACTGTGAGACCAGGGAAAGACTCCCCCCCCGCCCCCGGACGTCAGGGGTCAGCGAGCTCAGAGGAGGGCCCCGAAGTCTCTTTCTGGTGGGTTATGGTCTTTGACCATTCTATGTAACAGGATTCCTTGCTGGGGGGCAGTGGGTTACAAATATGTTTTTGGAAAAAATTAAATTCCTGGGCTCCGGTGTTGCTCTAGTGGAGAAGCTCTAGAATTCCACTGTCCAATAGAAGCACAATGTGATCTGTATATGTAATTGAAATTTGTCCTAGTAGCCACATGAGAAAAGGTAGAAAGAAGCAGGTGAGATTAATGTTAGTTACAGATTTTAACCTGGTATTTCTAAAATATTATCATTTTAACATGTAAAAATGAATATAAAAATTAATGAGATATTTTATATTCTTTGTTCTTGGACTAGGTCATCAGAATCAGGTATGTAGTGTCTCCTTACAGTGTGTCTCAATGGGGACCAGCCATATTTCAAGTGCTCAGTAGCCACGTGTGGCTAGTGGCTACCATATTGGATAACACAGATATGGAACACTTCTATTCTTGCAGAAAATTCTAGTGGACAGTGCAGATACAGAGCTAGGGGACATGGACTTAAGTCCCCACTCCACCACTGTGTAACCTCGGGGAAGGTTCTCAACCTCTCAGAGCCTCAGGTTCTTGCAAAATGAGGATAATCATAATACACACCCAGTGTCCACGTTGGATTTGTGTAACTACAAGAGCTGCTATTACTACTAATTACTTCCATTTAGTGAGCTCCTACTTCGTCCCGGGTGCTTTGCACGTATTATTTGTAACCCATACAATGACCTTGCCGGTGTGTATTTTGATCCTCATTTCGCAAATGTGGACACTGAGAATCAGAGGGGGGAAGTCACTTGCCCAAGATAATACAACCAGTATGATAGCCAAATCAGGGTTTGAACCCAGAGCTGTCTGAGTTTAATACCCATTTTTTTTTTCAGTGCCTTATGTTAAATTTAGAAACCTAAGCTATGCTATGCAAATGTTAACGAGTTCTAGGATGGGCTCCAGAACGGGGTGCAAATTCAAATGCCCGGAGGGTTCTGGCAAGGGGCATAAATGAAAATATTGTGCACTCGGAAGTGATGGTAACCTGGGGAACTGGAGACTCATGTGCCAGTCCGATTTTTCAAATCACTGTGCTGGACAAATCAAACCAGGTCTCCAGGAAGATGTGGTCCATGGCCCATCAATTTGAGACCCTTGGTCTAGTAGGAATACTTCAGTCTCTTTTTAGAAATTACTAGTAGACATGTGTCACTGGTGATCTTATTAAAATGCAGATTCTGACTCAGTGAGTTGGGGCCAGAGATTCTGCCTTTCTCGCAGGCTTCCAGGTGGTGCTGGTGGTGCTGCTGGTCTGACCCGTACCTTGAGTAACAAGGTAGTAGGGAATGATGTGCAGCCAACCATAATCTCTTGTTACAAATGAAGAAGCCAAGTCACAGAGCTGTTAGGTAATCATGGTGGGATTAGGCCTGACTTTAACAGCAGTGTTCTCAGCTATGACGTTGACCTGCACGCTTGGAGAAGGTGATCTGGAAGGTTCCCTGAATTCACTGTGTGGAGGCTGAATGAGATCCCCAGGTTATGAGGAGGAAGGGGGTGGCCATCAGCAAGCAGATGCTGGGGGTGCTTCACCCAGTCCCCACTAACTTCTCGCTTCACTGCACACCAGCCAACTCTTCCAACTGCCACCCCTGTGTCTTTCTGCCTGAGGGCTCTCGCTTGCCCCTGGCACCTGCTCTGCCTCCCACAGCAGGTCTGGAGGAGTAACACATCTGATAACTCCCAGGCGCATGCTCCACACTGGCTCCTGGAGTTCCCTAGCAGGACTGAACTGACCCACAATGGTCACTTGCTTGATAACTCCTCCCCCACCCTTCCCTGTCTCTTTAATCCCTAACATGGGATCACTTCCCAAATAAACCACTTGCACTGAAATCCTTGTCTTGGGGTCTGCTGTTGAGGAAAATCCGAACTAAAATTGGCCTCTGGTGCAGCAAGCTGAGAGTCAGTGGAGGTTACGGACATAGACTTCGGAGCAAGAGTGCCTGGGCTCAGTCCTGTTTGCTCAGGCAAGTGACTTAACCGTTCTGTACCTCTGTTTCTTCATCTATGAGCTAGGCATGCTAATATCACTCACCTCACAGCATGGTCTGGAGGATTAGACAATATGATGAGTATAAAGTAAGCACTCAGTAAATGTTTGCTGTTATTTGTAATATAGCATCCAAACGTAGGAGGAAGTGTGGTCCTAAGAACTGAGTACCCCCCTGCTTTTAGCCTCTCCTGCCCCCCAGCTGAAGGTACAGCCTTGGCGCTCTGCCTGCCCAGCATCCCCCCACTGCTGCGGGGGGCTGGCCGGCTGCGCCACCGACTGTCTCTGCTCTCTAAGAATAGGTTTCCCTCACAGATGGCATCTCTCTGGATCCTGCCAGAGCATCTGGTGCCTCCAACTGCTCACTCCAGGGAGCAAGGCTGTGTGGTCCTCTGCTGAGGAGCAGAGCCCTGGCTTCCAGCAGACCTGGGAGGAGTCCCCACTTGCCTCCCTCCTAGCTGAGCTTCCATTTCCTAAGATCTGTAAAACTGGCATTGCCGAAGGGCCCTTGGCACACAGTAGGCACTCTATAAACGCTAGTTCCTGAAATTGTACAATGGTTTACATGTTTATTAAGCACCTGTCACATTCCTATGAAGTCTTCTGACATGCAAGACTATAAAAAATAATATTTCATCAGTAGCCCATGCTCATAGTACAGAACTTACATAGTACAAAAGGTGTATCACAAGGAAAAGTCGGGCTCCCTCCTACACCCAAGCTCCACCCCCAAACCCCCCCTTTTGCCAGGAGCACTCACTGTTAGTACTTTCTAGTGTAGGCTTTCTGAGATATTCTGTGCACAGCCACCTGTCTTTGTCTTACGAGAAACTGTTTTAGAAGATTTTATTTTACCTTTTTTTTTTTCCTTAAGTAGGCTCCATGCTCAGCATAGAGCCCCACAAGGGCTTGAACTCACAACCCTGAGATCAAGATCTGAGCTGAAATCAAGAGTCGGATGCTTAACCAAATGAGCCGGCCACGTGCCCTTAAATATTTGATTTCTTTTTTTTTTTAGATTTATTTATTTATTTATTTATTTATTTATTTATTTTAGAGAGAAAGAGCACAAGTGGGGGAGGGGCAGAGAGAGAGGGAGAGAGAATCTCAAGCAGACTGCCTGCTGAGTGTAGAGCGCAACATGGGGCTCCATCCCATGCCCCTGAGATCATGACCCTAGCTGAAATCAAGAGCTGGGCGCCTAACCAATTGCACCACCCAGGGGCCCCTAAAGATTTTATTTTTAAGTAATCTCTCTACTCCATGTGGGGCTCAGCCTCATAACCCCCAGATCAAGAGTCGCACGTTCTGCCGACTGAGCCGGCCAGACGCTCCTGTCTTCCGAGAAACTTTCACATCACATTGTCATCTCCAAAGGTCTTTGGCATTTCTTCCTCGCGCTCTGCACGTTTAGTTTCTCTTTGATCCAGAATCTAATACGAAAGGAAGTCCTTTCTTTTAGCTGGTTCCCACCCCAACTCCACTCCCTGACTCGCCAGATATCTCAGGCAGGTTCTTACTGTGATCAGCGTCTGAGATGAACCGCCCTAGACATCCGGAGCCTTCCGGTCGCTGACACCAGACGTTCAGGCCCGCGGAGCTCCGAGTGAAATGGAGAGGACAAAACTGAGGTTAATTTGGGACCTTCTGCTGCTCTGCTCCCAAAGTAGAGATCATCCAGTGAGCCCATGTGAGAGCGATGATTCACAGGCAGAGACGCCAAGAAACTGCCTCCCGACGCTCCCTGCTCCCGCCTTTCACATCACAGGCCCCAGAAAGAATGCTGGAGATGGCGTCGCATTGTCCGCTTGCTTCGAGAATCGGGCTCTGAACCCAATGCCCTCCTAAACCAGAACACTGTGCGGGGCTCCACCTCCCAGAGCGAACCCATGTCGCCGCAATCTGGGACTTCAGGTGCCTTGCTTTCTTTAACGAATTAGGGGGTATTTATAAAAAGAAACATTATTTTCCCCCCTCCCCTTGTCATGTTCCAGATGGATAGGGAGAGAGTTTGTCTTACTTCAGCCCTGAAGAGTATTTTGGGTGAGAGGGGTTTCATCTTAACCAGAGGGCCTCCCGCACGACTCGCTCCTGTGAGCCGCAGGCCGCCCCGGGCCACCTGGAGGACAGAGGGAAAGCTGGACTCTCCTCTGAGGATGGCTTTTAGAGAGGGCTTCCTAACGGAGGGCTCCCACCTCCTGTGCTGGGTCTCTGCGCCCGGAACTCTGTCGCTGTCACGATTTCACAAACAAGACAGGAAACGAGGCAAAATGGAAACGTGGGTCATGGGGTCTCTGTGGGAAGCCTCGTTCCCATTGCTTTTCCAGGCTTCTTCAGACTCTCCTCATGGGCTAGATGTCCGCTGAGAGAAGGACCAGGGCCAGACCACGTCAGCTCTTTTAAGACTCGTTTTTGGGGGGTCTTTTTAGTCTGTGTCCTGAACCCCTTTGGCATCTGGTGAAGCCTGTGAACCCGCTTCAGAATGCTGTTTTTAAAACTCATTAAATGGGGCGTCTGGGTGGTTCAGTTGGTTAGGCGTCTGCCTTCGGCTCAGGTCATGATCCCGGGGTCCTGGGATCAAGCCCCGCATCGGGCTCCCTGCTCAGCGGGAAGCCTCCTTCTCCCTCTCCCACTCCCCCTGCTTGGGTTCCCTCTCTCGCTGTGTCTCTCTCTTAAAAAACAAAACAAAAAAAAAAAAAAACCCACCTCATTAAATAAAATACGTAGGGGGCGCCTGAGTGGCTCAGTTAGTCAAGCCTCTGACTCTTAATCTCAGCGCAGGTCTCAAGGTCGTGAGAGCAAGCCCCTGAGTCTTGGGCGTGGAACCTGCTAAAGATTCTCTCTCTCCTTCTGCCCCTCCCCCTCCCCCACTGCTCATGCGTGCGTGATCTCTCTCTAAATAAATAAAATACATAGGATTACAAAAAAAAGAAATATTGACTTGAGATAATTATCAAAATATTTTTAAATTTGTAATTTAGTAATAATATGCCTTTTTTTAAAAAACACACTAAATAAACAGTGGCCGGTCTAGAAGTGTCATAATTTCATAGGTGCCTTAGGCATAAACAATACCTCAAGACCCTGCAGCAGCTGTGACAGGGCATGGAAGTAGCTGTGGTTTCTGTTGCCAATGAAGGCCTGGTGCTGCTGATAGGCCTCTGGTCTGTGGCCTGCCTGAAATGCAAGATGTTGCCCTGCAGTCAGAGGCTGGTGAATATACAGATGGAATTTTGTTTCTGTCCAAGTTCCTGGAACT